TGCATATCTTATAGATATGTTCCTTCACTGAACCACTGCCATCATAACTGGTTAACATAAGTTGTGTCAAATAATAATACTGAAGTTGCTTCTTGGTACCCATGAACTGCTTCTTAAGTAAATCAAGAAGCGCCTTGGTAGTATCAAATACATGAATACCACCACGAATAGTCTCACCAATAGAAGCACGGATCAACCTGATGGCCATGGTATTAGCTTTAGTCCACTTAGCATGCAACAACTTTACTGCTTCAGAAGACTCTTCAATGATTGCAGCGGGTTTCTCCTCATAAAGTACGAACTCATAGTCCAAGAAACCCAATATAATATCAACACTTGTCCTCCAAGTAGTATAGTTCGAACCATTCAATGGTTCAATCCCTGTGAGCCGTCTTTGAATAGCGGAAGCGTCCATAACTGTAATACATGTTATATCAAATAACATAACATGAACAACATATAAAATAATATGTCACAACTTTAGGGATTATTACTGTAATTCGTACTTGGTGTTTTAAGCCGAATTTCTCAGGATATTTTACTATATGCAAACCCCGTCCACCCTGCGAGAACAGATAAAATGCTATCTAAAAAACATCTTTTGGCAGAATTTTAGATTTTATTTTACCCCTAAATTTGCGATCAAATCACACATAGAATTATTTGATTACACTTGAATTGTTGCTAAACACTTCCACTAGCTTTTCGCAAGAGGGTTATTTAGTTATAATCCAAGCACTCTCAAATATTTTACTCACTTATCCCACACTAAGACATTGATCACCTTTTGGTAGAACAAATACCCTCATGTAGGTAAGTGCACTGTGAGACCTCAATAAGACCAATGCCTTAAAATTTAAAAAATAATAACCTCCATGAACGTGTCACTTTTAAGCAGGCATCATTCACTTTGACTATTATTTTTAAAACAGTCACTTTACCGGTCCTCATAAACCCCAATGAAAGACCTTATCTTTATAAATTCCATTTAATCAATACATGAAATTACTACCTCACATATATATAAAATAATTTAAAGAATTAATTAAATATTTAAACATATATTCCTCTCTATATACTATACACAGTATAATCTTTAAAATCAAATTCACTGATTTTATTTCTCGTTTGGCGTGCATACTGATTAAAGGAAACATATTCTAAATCACATAACACATTTATTCCTTAAAATCATGACTATAATCAATTTATTAAAAGACAGACGGTATAATATCATAACAAATTGATCACTTAAACTTTAACAAATTAATTCATGCCAATATCTCGTTCGGCGTGCATGCAATTCTAATTACAAGACAAATCGATGAATTGCATAGCAAATTCGTGCAAAACCAACATCTCGTTTGGCGTGATGCACTACTGATTAAAGACAAAGTAATTAATTGTATAACAAAGACAAACAAACTAATGAATTGAAAATCTCGTTTGGCGTGATGCACTTGAATTTGAGAACACAAACTGTATGCAATTGTATAACAAAGACAAACTGATGACTTGAAAATCTCGTTTGGCGTGCACTTAAATTTGAGAACAAACTGATTGCATACAAGAGTTATACACGAAGATTCGGAAAAACAAACAAACACAAATTTCGATCCAAACAGTGCAAAACTCCATGTACACAGTTTATTTATTTATTTATCCTGCCCTTAATTTAAAATAATATATAATGTGTATTTAATTCACTGATCTTGATTTCTACAAACCACTCTGATACTAATTGTTAGGTGTAAAAAACAAATTACAAATAGAAATCAAAATTAATCATCAATTAAAGAGAGATTTTGATATCAGACCTAATTAGAAAAAATTAACTGTAGATATGTTTAAGAATTCCTTATCGTCCTCTGAGAGATCTTAAAATGGAGCGCTTTACCCCCTTCTGAAAGTTCTGATACGATAGGACTGAATAAGGGTTTTAAAACCCCTGTATATAATAACAATATGGTGGACGGCTTCTCTACAAACAAGCATATCTAAGTCTCCCTTTCTATCATGGAAAGTTAGATATCAATTGTTAGAATTAAATCACACCAAATAAGTTAGAAAACCACAATCCAACGGTATAAAACCATACTCCCAATTAGACCACCAAATTGGAAAGTACAACCCTATCCATCAAGTATCAATAATCACATTGCAATCCTAATTTAGAAAACGTAATACATAGGACCATCAAATAATTTTATAATTTAAATATATATATAAAATTCCAACAATATTTGCATAAGTAGTTCTTCTCGTGAACTAGTAATTTACTGTTGACTTGATTGCGTCTGATATCAGCATGATGTAAGAGTACACCTTAGTTTATGTTAGTAACAGCAACAGCCTAATATCGACAAAATTGCAATTAGAAAGGAATAAGAACACCTAACCTTGTTCTTTGTAGGCATATAAAAAGGTTCAAAAATAAGTGGAAAGGGAGTGTTCAGCCCACAAATTCTTGTCGCATGAGTTTTTAACTGCAAAACAATTCAACTATTCATTTTTTCAAGAAAATTTAAATTAAAATTTTGAGATTGGATTAGAGAAATGAAAATTAAAATGAAGTGAATAAGGAGTAAGTGGGTACAATAATTGTTGTCCAAAATATGGTCTAATTATACTATATATTATAGTATTACTTATTTAAGTATTATGCAAAAATATAATGTATATATATATAATAATTATTATTAAATAATAATGTATATATATATATATATATATATATATATATATATAATTTCTTATAAAATATACTTATATATAAGAACTAAAATAAAACTATACAAAAATAAAAGAACCTGATTATAAGTCAAGACTAAAATTTGATTCCATATCTTTAAGACAGATTCGTCCCACTATGGTGTTAACGGACTCAACTCACAGAGTAAGACTCGAACTCTACAATCGAAGAAATAGGTGACCCGACTCGGTGTAGTACTCTCTTTCTGAAATAGACCCGAACTCACAAAGTAACCTTATTTTTGTGGGTATATAAAAAGGTTCAGATATAATAAAATAATAATAAAAAAAAATTCAATTCTCATTTATTCATTCATGCATCAAAGAGATTCGTCCCTGCCGTGGATATCTAATCATGGAGTATGAAACAATTGTATATAAGCTTTAAATTTAATGCATAAAACAATTAATTTGAATCAAATCAGCAAACGTCCGCTGGGGATTACCAAGAACAAAAATTTGGCACCCATAGAGGCGAAACTATATAGATCATTAAATTGATTATTTTTTTTTTTGTGATTTCTACAATAGAAAATTAAAACCCTAACCTGACTCTGAGATAAATTGTTGAGTTTTAATCAAATAATTTACATGTAGAAATCAAGAATACTACAATTAATTAAATAGATAATTTAGTTTCGTACCTGAGGATCAACGCACATATACCTGCAAAACATTAGAGTGTTTTACCTCTTTTTGTGAGTTGTCCTTCGATATGACTGAATAAAGGTTTTAAAACTCTTATATAACTACAAAAGAGGGGACAACTTCTCTACAAATAAACATACCCAAGTCTCATTTTCTATCATGAAAATTTAGATATAAATAGTTAGAATTAAATTATACCAAATAAGTTGGAAAACCACAAATCAACGTTATAAACCATACTCCCAATTAGACCACCAAATTGAAAAGTGCAATCCAATCCATCAAGTATCAATAATCACATTGCAATCCTATTTTAGAAAAAGTAGTGCATAGGACCATAAAATAATTTTTATTATTTATATATAAAAATTTCCAACAGATCGTGCCCAATATCTGCATCCAAGAATAGAGCCCAGTTTTTGTTAGTAACAACAAAAGCCTAAAATGGACAAAACTGTAATTAGAAAAGAATCAAAACACCTTACCTTGTTCTTTGTGGGCATATAAAAAGGTTCAAAAACAAGTGGAAAGGGAGTGTTTAGCCCACAAATTCTTGCCACAGGAGCTTCTAACTGCAAAGCAATTCAAATATTCATTTTTTCAAGAAAATTTAAATTAAAATTTCGACATTGGATTAGAGAAATGGAAATTAAAATGAAGTGGATAAGGAGTAAGTGTGTACAATAATTGTTGTCCAAATTATGGTCTAATTATACCACATATACTATAGTATTACTTATTTAAATATTATGCAAAAATATAATGTGTATATATATAATAATTATCATTAAACAATAATGTGTGTGTGTGTATATATATATATATATATAATTTCTTATAAAATATAGTTATATATAAGAAATAAAATAAAACTATACAAAAATAAAAGAACCTTATTATAAGTCGAGGCTAGAATTTGATTCTATATTCTTAAGATAGATTCGCCTCATTATGGTGCTAACGGACTCAGTGGCATCTATCTCCCAGGATATAACGACTTTTCTTCTTTCTGTAATAGCACTGTAAACCGAAGAAATAGGCGACTCGACTCAGTGTAGTACTCTCTTTCTGAAATAGACACGAACTCACATAGTAAGACCCCAACTCACAGAGTAAGACTCAAACTCACAGACTAAGTATGCAAGAAGAGAGAAGGTGGAAAAGAATTCAGAAATAGAGAAGAAGATTATTTGTGGGCATATAAAAAGGTTCAAAAAGGCGACCGAACCCCCAGAGTAATCTTATTTTTGTGGGCATATAAAAAGGTTCAAAAACAAGTGGAAAGGGAGTTCCAATCCACAAATTCTTGCCACATGAGCTTCTAACTGCAAAACAATTCAAATATTCATTTTTTCAAAAAAATTTCAAATTAAAATTTTGAGATTCAATAACAGAAAAGGAAATTAAAATGAAGTGGATAAGGAATAAGTGGGTACAATAATTAGAGAAAGGGACTAATTTTGAATAATGCAACTTAAATTGAATTAAGCTTATGAGTCATGACTGACGTCAGTGTGGGAGGGCCAATCCAAATATAGATATTTTTTTAAAGATCGTCTTGACACATGGCAAAGAACTAGTTGTCGTTCACAAACACATTCTGACAACAAACCCTTCACACCTCTCTATATCAGTTTCTCTTTCCTCTCTCAACCCTTTAAATCTTCTCTGCCATATAAATACAACCCTTTTCAAATCCTTACCGCTCCGAATTCAATTTTTGTCGTTCAATTCTCGTATCGATCGACAAATCTTTGCTTCTCAATCGGTTTTGCGTAAAAGAAAACCCTAGATTTCCATTCATAAGGTCCGATCTCTCGCAGCCGATTGTTGAGCAGATCTTCTATTTCATTAACAGTTTTCGATTTTCTTGCACTCGAAACTGGACTTTGCACTGGATGAGTTTTAAAACTGGAATTTTATTAGATTCTTGACTTAAAATCTTCTTTCTTAGTTACAAGTATTCAAACCCACTGATATATGTATGTGTCTCTGTGTGTATGTATGTATATATTCTAAATCACTCGATCTTGGATCATATGCTGTTTTATATATAACATGTTTAAATTCACGTGATTTTTGATTTTTTTTCTGGAAAGGGAATACTTATAAAAAAACCCTAGATGGCATCATTGGTTTTGAGTTAAAGAAAACCCTAAATGGTGGTACAAAACAAGAATTGTGTCTCTGTTATTGATAGAAGTGTGTTGAATTTGTTGTTGTGCTGAATAGAAAGGAACGATCTGAATTGTGAGGGAAAAGGAATCGATGGCAGATCAAGTCTTGGAAGTGAGCCAACCCGTCGATCTCACCAAGCATCCGTCTGGAATCGTCCCTACACTACAGTAAGATCTCTTCTGTTTACAATTGAAGCCATGTCAGTGATGGAATTGTTTATTGAAAATTTTGAATGGAACAAAATCGAGACAGTATTGTATGCTTAAACGTGGGAATGAGCTAATTGTTTATGAGTCCAATTGCACTTAGGAATTTCTCACCTCAACTGTGGGTTTTTCTTAGCCTTAGTGCTCCATTCTCTTTAGCAAGAGTTGGAACTCTAGTTTTAGAGTCACAAATAGAACATAGATTGGTACTTTCTTTTGAATGCATTTGGTGTGGTTTCTAGGTGGGGCATCATCTAATTATATGCAATAGAGGGCGTCTCAAAGTGATACAACTTGACTTGGGTCACTAGCGACCGGGTTTAGTGACTGGCTTTCATTATGCATACATATGAATTATATATTATTTAGTTACAGTAAGTTTCAAAATCGATTTAGACAGCCTTGTATCAAAATAGCACATAAGATTTCTTGAAAGAGAAAATATCCAAACACTGTCTAGTATGCTAAATTTTGGGGCAAAGATTAATTTTAGAACCTAAATATCAAAGCATTGAATTGTCTACGAATTGATCTCATGTTTATAATGTTGGTGTTCTCTTTCATGTGCTTAATTGTTTTCTGTTAGATCATTCTGTTGATGGGTATGTTCTTGATGCATTTGTCCATGCGAGGGCTGACCCATAGAGATTTTTCTCCGCTAGTCTTGCCTGTATAACACTTAAATGAAACAATTTGGACAATATGAAACCTTCAAAGCCAATTATGACTTCATTTCTTTTTTGATAAGTAATTATGACTTCATTTCTTGAGTAAATACTTTATTATGATATTAGTGTTGAGAAAAATGGTATGCAAATGTCTCTTTTTCTTGAATATTATGTTAACAAATAAGGTATTGATGTACATCCAGAAACATAGTATCTACTGTCAACTTGGATTGCAAGTTGGATCTTAAGGCCATTGCACTACAAGCTCGTAACGCTGAATACAATCCCAAGGTATGCTTTTAAGCATATATGTCTTTATTTGTATGTAACATTATTATAGACTTTAAGTTCCCCTTCTGTTTGCAATCTGATGGAAACATGATGACATTTTAATTATCTGCAAATTTTTACTTTTTTTTTTAAAAAAAAAAAAAAAGACTTTTAGTTGCACTTCTGTTTGCAGTCTGATGAAATGGGATGCCATTTTAACCATCTGCACTTTTTTACTTTTTTTTCACACTACAAATTTAGGTCTTGCTTGGATTACTTCCCCCCCCCCCCCCCCAACCCAAAAAAAAAAAAAAACAAAAAAAAAAAAGGAGGAAAAAGAAGAAAAATAAAGAAGCAGCAAATCGGTTGAAAACTCGTTTGTTCGACAATTTTTTAAGAGTTATTTTTCTTTAAAAGAAAATTATTGAGGTATTTGGAAGTTTAATCTGTGGGAATTGCTTATGAACCCATAATAATAGTTGCAAGCTTGGATCAAAGTTGACTCTGAGAAATCTAACCTTGTTTGTGCAATAAATAGTACTTCTTGTTTCCTCTTTCATAGCAACCTGCAGTGATCTGTGTTTTTATATTTTATTCTGTAATGCTCTTGCAGCGATTTGCTGCGGTGATCATGAGGATCAGAGAACCGAAAACGACCGCATTAATATTTTCTTCTGGAAAAATGGTGAGTTTTTAGCTTTATTTTTATAGGTGTAGGTTTTTGGTTTTTTGTTGGGGGTTGAATCGCTTTCTCTCTTTCTCTCTCTGTCTCTCTCTCTCTCTCTCATTTTCCAAAAGTTCTGCTTCTCAATTTTGTCATGCTGCCCAAGTCACAGTGAGAAACTTCAATTTCTCTTTAACACCTGCTTTTTATTTCATCCCGTGTTGGGATATTCATAAAAGCACTGCCTTATCAGGGACGGAGCCTGGAATTTGCTTTTGGGGGGCACAATGAACATAACAAATTTTTTTTTTTTTTTTCCCAATTAACATGACAGTAAACAACGAACCGAAAAATAGAAGTGTAATAATCAAGATTCAAATGTCTAGAACGAGGAAAAATTGAACAAATGTAGAATAGAGACAATATAAAATTTCAGGGGGGAATTTCTCAATATTTTACATATATATAGGCAAAAAAATTATTGTGTGAAAACAAAAAAAGCCTCAATTTCTCAATATTTTACAAATATATAGACAAAAAATTAGTGTGTGTGTGGCAGTAGAATGTATGACTCAAAAGTCTTCATCACATCCTTTTTGACTTAATCCTCGGTGCAGCATTTACTTAAACGGCATTTCTTATTATTTCTATTAGAGAGTTGGAGTTCTTAAAAAAAATGACTCTCACATGAACTGATGAGATGTTGTAGATTCATCTCATTTTGATTGAAAGCATGTTTATTGACTTTCTTTAGTATGTTATTTTCAATGACACTTCTTTATTTCTGTCTTTCTGTGCTGCTTCAGGTTTGTACAGGTGCAAAAAGCGAGCACCAATCAAAATTGGCAGCACGAAAGGTATTTAATGTCTTTATGAAAGCATTTTCTCCTTGTTAATCTCAGGCTCTCAACTTTAATTTACTAGAGACCAATTTGGGATACCACAATGAAACTCTTGTCATCTCATTGTCATTTTTGTGACTGAATCCATATATGAATTTTGAGATGGGAGGCAGTATTAATTTTTTGATCAGTTTCTTTCCTATTCCCTATTCTTACTTTCTTTCTTTCCTTTTTTCTTCAGTATGCTCGAATTATTCAAAAGCTTGGTTTTCCAGCTAAGTTTAAGGTATTTATTCCTCTCTCTCTCTCTCTCACACACACACACTCACACTGCCAAAAGAAAAAAGACATCATCTATCATGTAAGCTGTTAGTTTGTTTCACGAATTACAAAGTTCTATATTGTTCTGATTGTATGTTAATTTTTTTTTTTTTTTTTTGTGGGTTTAGGATTTCAAGATCCAGAACATTGTGGGCTCCTGTGATGTTAAATTTCCCATTAGACTTGAAGGCCTTGCATACTCCCATTGTGCTTTTTCTAGTGTAAGTAGTGATGTTGTAATTTTTTTTTTTTTTTTTCTTTTATCAATTTTCGGTTTTAATACCATCGCTATGAATGGAGTTCTATTCAAATAGATGTTTTTGCACTTCACTGAAATAGAGGAGTGAATTTTTTCTGTTTTAATACCATCACCATGATTGAGAATTCTTTCCATAAATTATCTCCTACAAGTTAAAAGCCTTATTTAATGTCAATTTTCGACTAATGTTTGGTAAATTTTATTAGAAGAAAGGAATGGGCGGAGAAGAAGGGCCGGTTTTGGTAAAATGACAGACTTGGGATTCATGTTCCATTGTGTGACAGAAAGCATCTGGGGTTTGTGTCATGGGTGGTTAAGATCCATGAATTTTGTTGTGGAATTATTCTTGCGTAAAGTGCAATTCCTCTTCCCCCCCCCCCCCTTAAAAATTGTGCGAATATGCCCCGAGGTCTAATTATAAAAAATAAAAATAGAAGCAAAATGTCCAAAAAGGACATTTTCATAAACGACTTCGCTTTACATGCCCAAACACTTTACTATTTCAACTCTCTATCTCTCTCTTTAATTTCTTTCTTTCTCTATGTTGCCGGTCTCATGGCTGTTCTGATTCTAGAACTCATGTGTCTCGGCCTCGAAGTCCTCATCATGTCAGGCCGTCGCCAAGATGGCCGAATACATTAGCGTACTCTCTCTCTCTTTCTCTCTCTCTCTCTCTTATGTATATGCATATATATAAATATATGCACTACATAACTTTGCTCTCAAAATTATAATTGTATTATGCAATTTTTTTTGGATAAGTGGAGATTATGCAGTTCTGTTGAATCTGTTCTATTGGTTCTTATAATATGCTACTTTCAATTTGGGTTTTCTATTATTTTTTATTAGTTATGAATATTCGTTGAGTTGACTCTCTGAGTTCCAAATCAATTCCGGCTAACACTGTTGGTATATGGATTGGGTACTACTTATGGGCTGGAAGTTGAATTAAACCAGGCTAAGTGGGAACAGAAATGTGTGTTATTGTGTGTGTGTATCCTCAGTAGTTTTAATTGGCAAAGAGGCCCTTAATTTTGTTTAAAATGATCTGTTTTTTGGTAGCTAAAATATTTCCAGTGGTAATAGAATCAACACATTCTGCTTTGCTCACTCTTGATTGGCAACTCATTAGCAATGGAGATGGGTGGAAATGCATTTAAATGACTGATGATTGTTGTGGCTCCATGGTGGAAAGAAAGGGATACAAAATCTGAGAGAGAGAGAGTGTGTGTGTGTGTTAGTGTTGGCAACTCTTTATAAGCCCGTTACCCAAAAAAACTCTTTACAAACCATGACAAGGTCCAAAAATTTGGTAACTCTTTGTTTGTTCATGCTGGTTGTTGTAATGCCTGAGAACTCCCAATTCTCATATCAGGCCTTATTCACCAATCCCACCTAACAGAGAGAGACTGAGCCTGAAGAGAGAGTGTTGAGGGGTTCTGGATCAAAATATATTGTTTTTGAGTTGTGCGCTAATGAACATGTCAAATTTGCCACTTTTGAATATTTTGTTAAATGTGTTGCAATACTTCTAATTGTGCTTTCTGGAATTGATCACATGATTCACATTTGTTGGTACAGTATGAACCAGAGTTGTTCCCTGGATTGATTTATCGTATGAAGCAACCAAAAATTGTGCTACTTATCTTTGTTTCTGGGAAAATTGTTCTGACAGGAGCTAAGGTAATGACATGATTTCTGTGTCTATGAGAAAAATCAGTTACTGTATTCTATTCTGCATTGTCTGATTTTATTTGCTATTATGGTTCCCTACCCAATCTAAACTGTCACATTACTAATTCTTTCAGGTGCGAGATGAAACGTATCTTGCATTTGAAAACATATACCCGGTGCTTACAGAGTTCAGGAAAAATCAACATTGGTACGAAAATTGTGTTGCATGTATATCTAGTCATGTTGCTAAATAGAAACCTGAGTCGTCCCCAAAATTTAACTCATCTCATTTGTTTTCAAAATTTGTGGCAGATTTTGATGGGAAGTACAGCAGGATTTATGTGCTCACTTGGGGCGTTAACTGCTGACCAACTGTAAATATGTTGAAAGGAGAGGGTGCTCGTCGGCCCTTGGCCGTTTAAGATACATATTAAAAGGACTAGAACAATTTTTCCCTGAATGTTATCCCCAGTAACTTAGTTTACTGCTTGTAACAAAACTACAATATTTGTTGTTGTAGAGATGAATAAGAAAAACGTTCGATTATGGATTGATGGTTAATTTGCCTCTTTTATTTGAGGTGAAAAATGATTATTTTTAGTCTTTTGTAAAGGCCCAAATTTTTTTTTTTTATAATAAATAAAGTAAAATTGGACTGGTCTTTTTGGTAAAGCGTGGCTATGAATTGGTATTCGCTGAACATTTTTCTTCTTTATTGCATTAGTAGTTCTATAGAGTGCTATATACTGGGTATTAACAACGTGGACATAATAATGATGTCAGCCTCAGTTCTTGACTTTCAGGCTTAAAAAATGAGCAAAAATGGTTCCAAAAAAAAAATTGGACTGGTCTTTTTGGTGAAGCATGAATATGAATTGGCATTCACTAAACGATTTTCTTCCTTACTGCATTAGTAGTTCTGCAGTATATACAGGATATATATATATATATATTAACCTGGCAATAAGAACAGCCAAACGGCACTTACACAGACAAGATCACATAAATAGCATCCAAAACAGAAAGAACCACTATTATGGACAAAACAAAGCTAACCCTAGACAAGCCCAACATCAAGCCAAGCCAAGGCATCATCCTTGACAACAACCTAAAGCTTTAAAAGGTGTCTGATACTCTGGGCTGGCTAAGTCAGCTAGATGCGACCTAAGTGGTTGGAAATAGGGGCGCCACATATCCCAAAAAGAGAATCTGACAATGACTAGGAAGCGTATGGAATACACTTTGCTGCCCAAGCCACACCAACTATAAAGAGATTGAAAAACACCACTTGGATATTCACACCAAGGGATAAACAAAACGTCACTGCCATACATAGCTCTTGAAAACCCATGTGCCCCTGGCCCACGAAAAGCCAGAGTAAGACTTCCAAAAGACGCCTTCAAGACGTCTGCCATGACGTCATTCCCACCCCAGCCAAGGAAGCAAACACTGACCACAAGAGTCGATATACCGACGACCCCAAAACCATGGAAGAACACCCACAGCGGCTGGCGGAATCCATCCGTGGGAAAAAAACAAGCATCATCCTCCCCAGATGTAGCAACATAGCTAACCCAAAGGAAAGACATGAGACCCGTGCACCATACTCAGTGTTGAAAAGGAAAGATTCGGTAGTAATACTACCAAATATTATTAGCTGTAAATAAAATATTTGGAGGATATTTGTTGTAAATAGAATATTGGTCAAATATTATAAATTAGGAAATTATTAATTAGGCCAGCTTATGTGCGTGTATTCTCTCTTATAAAGAGAATCCGTGTAAACTTGTGAATTGTGAATTGTGTGCTAATACAGAGAAAAAGTTTATTCTATATTTCTTCCTTTCAAGTTTATATAGTATCAGAGCCACCCTAAGAAAAAAGAAAAAAAAAAAAAAAAAAAAAAACCCTAATTTTATTTTCTGCACAATTTCTTCGTTGATTAACCATGTCTGACGTTTCCTCCATGTCAACCTCTCCTATCACAACCCGGTCAACCAATCCGACAACCCAAGCCCCCAATACTGATTCTCACTCGATTCAGATCACCAATATTCGCCTTAATGGTGACAATTATTTACGGTGGTCCCAGTCCGTTCGGATGTACATCAGAGGGCGGGGAAAGATCGAGTACCTGACGGGAGACAAGAAGGCATCGACATCGGAGGACCCAACGTACGTGAATTGGGATGCAAAAAATTCAATGGTGATGACTTGGCTTGTAAACTCCATGGACGAGGATATTAGCTCCAACTATATGTGTTACTCCACGGCTAAGGAGCTCTGGGACAACGTGAATCAGATGTACTCTGATTTGGGAAATCAGTCTCAGATCTACGAATTGACTCTAAAACTTGGTGAGATTCGGCAAGGAGAAGACTCGATTACCAAGTATTTCAATTCATTGAAGCGTTTTTGGCAGGACATGGATCTGTTCAATGATTATGAATGGAAATCCACTGAGGATGCCAATCACTACAAACGGATCGTGGAGGCTCATCACATTTACAAATTCCTTGTTGGGCTCAACATGGAATTTGATGAAGTACGAGGACGGATCATTGGCAGGACTCCACTTCCTCCAATTAGTGAAGTGTTTGCTAAGGTTCGAAGAGAAGAGAGCCGTAGACATGTAATGTTGGGGAAGAAGACTACCAGCGGACCTGTTGAGAGTTCCGCCCTTATTGTTGCAGAGATTGCTACTAATAAAGCAGTCAATTTTCAGTGAAAAACTAAAGAGAAGCCATGGGTCTGGTGTGACTTCTGCAACAAACCGCGCTATACTTGGGAGAACTGCTGGAAAATCCACGGAAAACTAGCGAATTGGAAAAGTAGCAAGCCTGGTGACAGAAATAGGCGTGCGGTTCCTACAGCTAATGAAGTTGAGATAAGTGGGTCGTTACAAAGTCCCTTAAGCAAGGAGCAGATGGATCACCTTCTGAAGCTGCTGAAATTTAATTCCTCATCTGGTATTCCTAGTGTTTCTCTTGCACAAACAGGTAGTGCACTTAATGCCCTTTCTTGTTGTTTAAATTATACTCCATGGATCATCGATTCTGGAGCCTCTGATCATATGACCAGCCTTTCTAATCATTTTAGCACTTACTCAACATGTTCTGGCCTTGAAAAAATTAGAATTGCAAATGGTAGTTTTTCACCTATTGCAGGAAAATGTTTGATAAAATTATCCGAGAATATAGATCTTAAATCTGTTCTCCATGTCCCTAAACTAGCCTATAACCCTCCACCTCCCCCCACCCCCCCCCCCCCTCCCCCCCCGCGCTGCCGCAGGGCGCTTGAATATGCCCCAAGGTCTAATTATAAAAAATAAAAATAGAAGCAAAATGTCCAAAAGGACATTTTTATAAATGACTTTGCTTTACATGCCCATACACTTCACTATTTCAACTCTCTCTGTCTCTAATTTCATTCTTTCTCTATGTTGCCGGTCTCATGGTTGTTCTGATTCTAGAACTCATGTGTCTCGGCCTCGAAGTCCTCATCAAGTCAGGCTGTCCCAAAGATGGCCGAATACATTAGTGTACTCTCTCTGTCTCTCTCATGTATATGCATATATATAAATATATGCACTACATAACTTTGCTCTCAAAATTGTAATTGTATTATTCAATTTTTTTTGGATAAGTCGGGATTATGCATTTCTGTTGAATCTGTTCTATTGGTTCTTATAATATGCTACTTTCAATTTGGGTTTTCTATTATTTTTTATTAGTTATTAATATTGGTTGAGTTGACTCTCTAATCAATTCCGGCTAACACTGTTGGTATATGGATTGGGTACTACTTATGGGCTGGAAGTTGAATTAAACCAAGCTAAGTGGGAAGAGAAATGTGTTTTATTGTGTGTGTTGTCTCAGTAGTTTTAATTGGCAAAGGGGCCCTTAATTTTGTCTAAAATGATCTGTTTTTTGGTAGCTAAAATATTTCCAGTGGTAAAAGAATCAACATATTCTGCCATGCTCACTCTTGATTTGCAACTCATTAGCAATGGAGATAGGTGGAAATGCATTTAAGTGACTGATGATTGTTGTGGCTCCATGGTGGAGAGAAAGAGATGCAAAATCTGAGATAGAGAGAGTGTGTGTGTTAGTGTTGGCAACTCTTTATAAACCCGTTACCCAAAAAAACTCTTTAGAAACCATGACAAGGTCCAAAAATTTGGTAACTCTTTGTTTGTTCATGCTGGTTGTTGTAATGCCTGAGAACTCCCAATTCTCATATCAGGCCTTATTCACCAATCCCACCTAACAGAGAGAGACTGAGTCTGAAGAGAGAGTGTTGAGGGGTTTATTCACAATATCTTATTTTTCATTGTAAATTTCTTAAACATTTTTGACTGATTAGAGAATTTGCTGGATCAAAATATATTGTTATTGAGTTGTGCGCTAATGAACATGCCAAATTTGCAACTTTGGAATATTTTGTTAAATGTGTTGCGATACTTCTAATTTTGCTTTCTGGAATTGATAACACGATTCACATTTGTTGGTACAGTATGAACCAGAGTTGTTCCCTGGATTGATTTATCGTATGAAGCAACCAAAAATTGTGCTGCTTATCTTTGTTTCAGGGAAAATTGTTTTGACAGGAGCTAAGGTAATGACATGATTTCTGTGTATATGAGAAAAATCAGTTACTGGATTCTGTTCTGCATTGTCTGATTTTATTTGCTATTATGGTTCCTTACCCAATCTAAACTGTCACATTACTAATTCTTTTAGGTGCGAGATGAAACATATCTTGCATTTGAAAACATATACCCGGTGCTTACAGAGTTCAGGAAAAATCAACAATGGTACGAAAATTGTGTTGCATGTATATCTAGTCATGTTACTAAACAGAAGCCCAAGTCGTCCCCAAAATTTAACTCATCTCATTTGTTTTCAAAATTTGTGGCAGATTTTGATGGGAAGTACAGCAGGATTGATGTGCTCACTTGGGGCATTAACTACTGACCAACTGTAAATATGTTGAAAGGAGAGAGTGCTCATCGACTATTGGCTGTTTAAGATATATATTCAAAGGACTAGAACAATTTTCCCCGAAATGTTATCCCCTGTTACTTAGTTTACTGCTTGTACCAAAACTAAAATATTTGTTGTTGCAGAGATGAACAAGAAAAACATTCGATTATGGATGGATGGTTTATTTGCCTCTTTATTTTTAATCTTTTGTAAACGCCCAAGTAAAAAATTAATAAATAAAATTAAATTGGACTGTTCTTTTTGGTAAAGCGTGGATATGAATTGGCATTCGCTGAACATTTTTCTTCTTTACTGCATTAGTTGTTTGTACAGTGCTATATACTGGATATTAACGTCGGGAATATTAATGACATTATAATGATGTTAGCCTCTACTCTTGAGTTTCAGACTTCAATAATGAAATGGTTTCAAAAAAAAAAAAAAAATTGGACTGGTCTTTTTGGTAAAGCATGAATATGAATTGGCATTTACTGAACAATTTTTTTCCTTATTGCATTTGTAGTTCTGCACAGTATATGCAGGATATATATATATTTTGTTGGCAATAAGAACAGC